CCCCCCCGGGGCGGGTCGCTGCCCGGGCGGGGGCAGCCCCCGTCCTTCGGGCCGGAGCGCGCCCCCCCGCAGCGCTCCCTCCCCTCCCGGTTAGGTCAGAGAACCCCTGCAGCGCTCCGCGCCGGCTGCTAATTGCAATCTCCCCAGCCATCCAAGCCGGTGAGCCGCCCGCAGACCCCCTCCCGCCGGCGGGGCCCTTAACGAGAGCGCGGCGGGGGTCACGGCTCGCACACCGGGGCTGTTCTAGCAGAGGAGCGGAGCAAAAGGAGAAGGGCTGGGAAGGAGGAGGGCTGGGTGCCGTTTGCCCCCGCTTCTCCTAGGGTAAAAGTTAAAGCTGGCTTCCCTGGACTACTTTGCGCTTGTTCTTGGCTTGTGGCTTCTCCCCCCGCAAAGAACAAGATGGAGAAGTCGGTGCTGTTTCTGTGCCATCTTGTCTATTTTCTCCTGATAATCGGGAAAAAAGTAAACCAGGGGCAGTACGAAGATAAGTATTATTGCAAACTTTTAAAGTCATCTGGAAAAACCTGCTACAACCTTGTTTTTAGAGTGGGCTTACATATGGCAACTATAATAAGAGGATGTTTCTGAGCCTTAAAATAAAAATGATCTTTCTGAAGCCTGTCCGCATTCTGAGTACCGTTTTAGCAAAAGAAATAGCCAGACTGTAGATAGCATAAATTTCTTCACATCTTCCTCACAGAGTTAAGCACAGTGTTTCAGACCACCTTGTGTACTCACGTTGAGGTAAACGCTGCAAGTTTTGAGGTATCTAATTTGGATAAATCGCAGATAAAAGGCTATTTCTGTCTCTGGAAAGCAGAGCTAGCAAAGCTGTCGTAGCTCCACTTCTGTATGTAAAGCTGTACCAAGCTCAGTAGCAAAGAGGAAAACGATCTAATGGGGAATACTTTCAGCAAAAATTAATGTTGAGAGAGAGGATTTGGCCAGGGCAGCCCTTCAGCAGCTATCGGTGGAGATACTGAGTCTATGGATGCTGAAGCAGCTGCAGGCATCCTTACAGAAGTACAAAACCACTTTATCGATATACACGTAACAAAACGTGTTTTCAGAGAAAGAAAAAATGGAATTAGTGTCCCAGTACAGAGCTGAAGTGGAGGTGATCACATTAGCTCTTCAATTCGCATCTCTCTCCAATATCAAGTTAAAGGATTATGGTTGGTTTTGTCAGGACTTGGAATAAAAGCATTTTGTGGTTTGAGGGAGTTTGTTGTGTTGTTTTTGTTTGGGTTTTTTTGTTGTTGTTTTTTTTTTAATCCTATGAAGAATATTGAAAAGCTTTCAGAGATTTTCCAGTTGGAAACCTTTTGCTTCAGTTCTGTATTGCATGCTGGTGTGTGCCAGTTGTGAGCTGGGAAACGATGTAGAAATAGAAGAGTGGAAAACATGGTGGTTCTGAAACAAGTTCAGAATCCATAAACAGTGTTTCAAGCTGCTTCTTTTAGAGTGTTTTCCTGCAGAAATGCTATTACAAAATACTCCGGTTTTGAGGGAAATAGCACATTTTGCAGGTGTTTTCATTGTAATTCCTTGAAGCATCTCTGATGAAAACACAGAAATACCGGTTTGTGTGTGTAAATGCCCTGCTCGTGCACCCACGACGCTGCCCCCACGCGTGACGCTCGCTCAGACGTGCTCCGCAGGGTGGTTTTGCGTGGCACGCAAACATCTGCACACCCACACAGCCTAAACGTAGAGTTTAAGCTGTGTAAGGAACATATGGCTGGTTTTACGTATCTTCTGCTCATTTGCCAGCTGAACTGTAGCAGTAATCAGAAGTTTGGTAATCTACCATACGTGTAAGCAAGACAGGTTCATTCTTTCTCTCTTTTCCAAACTAGTCTATGTAAGAAGTAACAATTTTTTTCTCCACTTTCTGAAGTTTTGTTCAGCTAAACCTTTGGTCCCAGTACTTTGGAATTTTAATACATTTATGTGACACTTGCATTTAAATAATTACATTGGAACTGAAGTGTGGCACAAACTATAGCATTTGGGAGGCAACACATACAGAATGGCCTAATATCTTGATGAATTTTGAATGCTTTAGAAGTCTAGATTTTATATTATTAACTTATTTGGCAGATTTAGGAGAATAAAAAGATTAACCCCAAATGCAACCTGCAGCAAACAGTTGTGTACCTTTATCTCCATCCTGTAAAAAATGGCATGAAGAACTAAGGATCACTGATAAAAGATCCAGCCTGGGTCTTAGGGTTCTCTAGCAGTTACTTAATTTTATTTTGTTTGAAATTAGTAAGTGTCTAGCTATTCTAGCTAAGGACTAACTAGTTGTCAGGCTCCTTGCTCTTAGACCCGGTGATGTCCCAGTGGTGTGGTCATGGCTGTGCTCTGGGACATGAGCAGAAGGTTTGTGGGTGGAGAGCTTTCCTTCCAGAGACACTGGTCAGTCAAAAAGGATGTTGCTTTTGTTTATAAACCTCTCTTGCCTTTCATCTCCTTGTGTTGGGCTTTTAGGCCCCAAGTTTAGGACTTGTCTGTGACTTCAAGCTCATCTGGCTGGTGTGGGTGAAATGATCCAGCCCCGTGCCCACGGCAGCCATATGGCTGCAGGGGTATAGCTGTTAGGGTGAAAAGATCTCTTTAGTTGTGCTGCAAATATGCGCAGACCCTAAAGATGGGCCTGTGGGCACCTGGGGCGTACATCTTCAAGACAGAAAGTTGCCCAACAAGGCCTGGTGTGCTCCTCTGGAGAATTTGGACAAGGAGGTTGTGCTTGGCTTGGCCAAGTCTTCCCTCCCGGCCTTTCTGCGGGTGTTTTATCTCGCCACGTACAGGCTGTCAGGGAGCCCCTGAACACTTCAGATGGGGGTTCCCAGCATGGTTTGCTTTAGGGAATATGCTCAACGATGGTGGAAGCAGGTCCTTGCTCTTGGGACACGTCCCTGCCCTTCTCTGAAACACTCTGAGAAGTGCTGGTAGCGTGCCCGTCACTTGGGAGCCTCTGGGGTGGGAAATACCTTTGCCTGCACCCAGGGTGCATTGGAGAGCCCCAGGCTGCGGCGATGGGATTCGGGGTGGCCCCAGCAGCCCCCAGGGAGCGCGGGAAGGGACCGTTACGGTCCGTTACGGTCCGTTATCCTACCAGCCGCTCTCGCGGGTGCTGGGTTATGTCTACATAATGTATGAAATATAATCAAAAGGATTGTTCCACAAAGTGATGTAAAGATGGCAGAGCACACGCTGAACAAACACGCCTAAGGATGTTGCTGAGCCTAACGTCGCAGCCAGCTTTCCTTTTGGCTGATGGAATCACTATTTTATATTTGTGCTCATTTGGGAGATCTATAAATATATAAAAGAAAAAAAAAACATAATCAGGCAGCTGTAGATGAGTTTTACTAATCCACAAATTCATTATTCAAGCATCTAAAAATACCTGGTCCTTGCTGAAAGCAGAGGATGATACTACAGGAGGAGAAGTGGCTGTTACTGGTGATGTCTCATTTACATGGAAAATTGTGGATGCCTTATGATATGATTACAGCCAAGATTTCGCCCCTCAAAACAAGTGACATACAGTGTGGTTATTTAGCTTGATGTAAGTAGACAGATGAGAAAATATATAAATGCCTGATGGTAATGTTTCTTATTAGCTCAATTGCCCCAGGCCAGAGGGGCTGGGAGGCTCCGATGTATCCAAATGAGCTTTGCAAAGTTACAGTTCTTAAGGCTCTCTTCATCTACGTCAGGGCAATGATAAGATAAGTAAATGTGAATTCAGGTGCCCTAGTAACGCTTGATAAAGCATGTTAGTGAAGGTGAAAAGTGACAGCCAAACCCAAAAATATTCTCAAGGTAGAAGAGAGAAAATTCACCACAATGCGGTTGGCGGTGGGAGGAGAAATTTGTGGTACCGTGACTGTCCCCAGGTGGAATCAGCAAATTCTGTTGTGTATGTGTGTTTTTAGGGTCGTTCAATAGAAGAAAAAGAAATTCCCTCTACGTAACTGTGACTCTCCTCATTGTGTCAGTATTAATTCTAACGGTGGGCCTAGCTGCTACAACAAGAACCCAAAATGTGACTGTTGGAGGTTATTACCCAGGGGTTATTGTAAGTATAGAACTCCTAGGTAGGTCTAGAAAAATTATTGCCTACAAAGTCCCTTGTAATGCTGCAAATGTTATAAAGGGTGATCTTGTCCTGAATATTATGCTCAGCTACTTCATTGCCATTTGATTTATTTGTTTTATTATTATTTTGCACCTGCTGCTCATTCCCATGCAAAAATCCCATCCAAGTGACAGCTTCCTCTGAGCTTAGGTAATAACATGCTTTTGAGCTAACGGTGAGACAGATAAATAGGTCTCATGTCAGTCAAAGCAACCCTAGAACTTCTTTGTTTGCATACATCACATTAACCCCGGGCAGAAGTAAGGCAAAGAAGGAGCATAGGTGCCAAGAACAGTAGAGAGACCAGGTCTTGAAATACTGTTCACGTGAACTCATGGTCATGAAGTTCACCTGCAGAAGTGTTTAACGATTTGGAGTCCCCGAATGAGGAGAAGCACGTCAGCAATAGCTGTGGCAGCTTGCCAGGGGAGCATGCACATCAAAGCAGCTAGCACATCCATTTTTTCATTTTTCTTGTCAACAGATGAAAATGGGAAAGGACAATCTTATAGGTTCAAATGGCTTAATTTAGAGAAGACCACTGGTGCCCAGCCTTCTTGCCAGTAGATGTGTAACCTCCTGCAGAAGCATAAGGGGCGAGTACATCATGCCCCTCCCAGCATGAGCAGAGGTCCAACACAAGCTGGAAAGCAAGTCCTGCTCTGTTCCTGTGTGTGTCTGAGACGTGCTCAAAAAGAAGCACAAAAAGGACTGAGCTGCAGCCAAATTAGGTGTCTTAGCAGGTTGAGTGTAGCTGCAGCCCCCCAGCTAGAGGCTCCTGGTGTAACAGCTGTGGAGCGCTGTGCATTTACGTTTGGAGCCTCGAAGTTGGAGGCTTAAAGCCAGTCCGGATAACCAGGTGAAGACTTATTCTTGCCTTGTTGCAGTTTGATTTATTTGCCACACATTGCTGATCTCAGGGAGGTTTATATTTCTCTGTGGACAAGCTCTTCTATGACTGAAGAAAGCCCCTTTACAGCCATTAGTGTGGAACTGTTACAGACTGTGTTGGGCCTCTTTGGTTTAGGATTGGTTTTCTGGCTTGTGACTCCTGCATTTAGCCCTGATCTTTTTTAAAGAGAGCTACAGAAGGAGGGTGTTGAGAAAGGTGGCAGGCTGGCTTCAAACTCTCCACACTTAGCCTACGTTCTGTCAGCCTGAGTTGAACCTCGTGCTTCGGAGCAGGTCCTGCAGACTGATGCAGATGGGTAGAGCCTGTTTATGTCCCCTTGACATCTCCCGTGCTATTTATGCTCTGGGAACGTCAGCATCGCTTATGCTTTTGGAAGATTCAGTCTACTCAAGGAATTAATGAATTCCTGGACTTGGGAAGGGCGCCGAGTTATTTTATTCAGAGGCACCCTTACAGTTTGTGTTTGTCACCAAATTCCTCCTCTCAGTTCATTAATCTGCTCTGGGGAAATGTGTGATGACCTCGCCTGTCTCCCTGCACAGAAAAACATTTCGGTGTGCTGCTGGATGCTTCAGCAGGTGCTTAAAATAGCCGATGTTTCGTAACAAGCTGGGATTTCTCCCTTTACTGTGGAAAAAGGGCTTGCTGTGGTGCATGAGTACTCGGTGAGTTGTCTCCGAGCAGGTGGCTTCCACAGCCCCGAAGAAGCAGCTCCTTGCAGGTTTTGTCATCCAGAACTTCACACGAATGTTAGACCTGCGTGCATCTCCATCAGGAGTTTCTGTGCACCACCATTAGTCATACCCTGAGAACCCTGCATTGGTAAGGAAGAGATAGAGCCAGCAGTCTCTTCGCGTGCTGGGTGACTTCTCTGTGTGTGGACCAGATCCATGGACGTCCCCGTCTCATGGGACATCAGATATCTCATCGCTGCCATGCCTAATGCACCATTCTTTCCTCCTTTAACTTGTGTGTCTTGTGCAAATACCTCTTGTGCAAGGAGACATGCACAGTGGCTGTCTGATGCGAGGGATTATCTTCCCAGGCTCGCAAGGAAGGACAGAACGGGACACTGGAGACCTTATATGCATCAGTGGGATTCTGTTTGGTTGGGTTTTTTGGGGGTTTTGGGGCTTTTTTCCCCCCGACAGTGCCGTTCCTCATTGACACAACTGGAGGAGCTGAAGCAGAGGGTGCAATGACATGTCCTGTAGCCAGGCTGCCTTCACCCTCCTCCATGACCACTGACACCTTCGCAGCTACATCTGTGAACACCCTGGCTGTGCCGCTGTGGGAAATATCCTCACCCGTGGCGGGGTGACTGACCTGGGCCTGGGAAGCCCAGAGTGTAACAGTGATGCTCAGCAGGCAAGAGTAACGATCAGGTGCAGAGGGCAAGTACCCTTATGGAAGTGAGGCTCTGTGAGATATGTGTGTGATCTCCAAGTCATACCAGCTTCTAGCATCTGTGTAAATGGCTGACCTTTCTTAGGCTTTGACTGGCAAACCTCTTCTGTAATGGTTCCTTGTCAAGCACGTTGGCTTGGGACTTTACTCTGGAAAATCACATTAATTTTGTGTCCTGTCCTACTTTCAGACAGAGATGCCAGGGGATCATATCCACCAGCAAATAAGTGATGCAATTGATGCAAATTACTAAGATCTCTTTGTCCCATCTGTAGAATGAGTGGTTTTCCCATTAGTGCAATGAGAATTCCCAATAATTAATGAGAATCCACTGATTTATTTGGTCTTCACCTGTTGGATGTACAGACTTGCTCGAATTTCTTCTTTTTGAATTATCTTAAATTAGCTTAAGTATTTCACCTTTTGGTTTGAGGCTGCTCTGAAACACCATGTGGACATTTCTCTTCAACGTGTTGGATCAAGCTCAAAGGGCACAAAATGTTTTTCTTGAGCGTTTGCCTTAGGCGTGTGTTGCCTCACAACTTCCTTGCTGCAAAATATCACCAGACTGAAAATAATGCCTGGACCTATGTCACTGTTAATGCCTGGATCTCCCAGGTTTTGGGCTTGGAGTTGAGCTATAAAACTCCTGTTACTTGGGGAAGCTGGGGGTTGTTGCTTGCCCAAGCTGAGCAAAACAATGAGCCCAGAAGCGCTGGCAGATCAGTTTGGGGCAGTTCAGTAGCACCCCTGGCTCTCTGCCCTGCCTGCTGCCCTGGTGTTAAGCAGCACCTGGCTTTGTTGCTGTGCTTCCCACCATGGTAGTTAGTCCCTGATGTGGGGACAACGGTCTCCGAGAACTCGGAGTGCAAGGCAGGCAGCCGGGAAGCAGCAGCCTGATCGGCTGCTCTGCTTTAATCCCTGCCGTTTGAGCCAGCAGCCCTTGCTGCCCGTGGCACTGCACCAAATGTTACTGGGCTTAAGCAGGGGAAGATTTAAGCCCAACTTTTCATTACGTTTGTGTCTGCTAATCTCTGCACGTGCCTCTACTTGTTCCTATCGGATATATTAGACCTTTGTTTTCTATTCCTGGATCTTAAAATATCGATTCCAGGTTAGTTGACTCATTCTTGAATCACTGCAGCATGTCTCGTGCCTTATGCTGCTTCCTGAGGAGCTGGCCGGTTATTTGGCATTCTCAGCCAGACCTTCACTGCCCCCCTAGTCTATTGACTGGATTTGTACTGGCTTAATATGACCAGTCCAACTGTAGGACTTTTCCGGCATTTCGCATTTTGCCGACCCATAGAAGTGGAGTTGTATATGCTCTACACCGATCAAAGACCTTTCTCGGTGTGACACAGAAGTATTTCTGCATCTCACCCCCCAGTCCGTGGTTCCTGGTTGAAGTCCCTGTTTCTGGCCTGGCGGAGGTGTGCTGTGTCCTAGAAACTCTATTGAGTGTAGCTAAATGGCTTAAAGCTATGGAGACAGGAGGTGGGAAATTGCACTCCTGGCTGACTTCACTGAGCTGAAATAAGAACGGTGTTGTCAGTTATGGCAGCAAGAAAAGATGCTTTTGCTGGAGTAGCTGGTTCTCTTGGCTGGGCTGGCTTGAGTTCTTCTGGTAGAAGACCCTGGTTGATGCATCCTCACCCCTGGAAATGAGGGAGGAGTAGAAGGCGGCAGAAAACTGCTAAATCTTCCCAAGTATAATTCTCCCTTCATACTTCACATCAAGAAACTCTCTGAGTTGAAAGCTTAGGTGATTGTTCACACCCTTGGTGAGGTTACAGAAGCCTGGTTCTGCAGATGCTAGCGATGTGGTCCTGCTAGGTTTGCATCTGGAGGCTCCTGAGTGTTTGTAGGGTTGTTCCAAGACAGCAATGCATATCCTCATCCACCAGCCATTTCTCAGCATCACTGGGGAGGGGATGCAATTCAGAACTCATCCTTTTGGTTTCTACGCACGCTTTTAGTGTCATATACAGGATACGCTTGGTAGTTCCTACTAGTGAGAGACTCCACTGATTCCTTATCGAAGGAAGAGTGCTCACGCATCCGCAGTATGCTCTTTTGCTGCTTTTGGATTTAATTGTGTTCTGTCTGTATGTGAGATACGTTGGATGTCGTCTTGATCTAAATGCTAACAATATGTTGTTTTTCAGCTTGGTTTTGGGTCGTTTCTTGGAATAATTGGATCAAACTTGATAGAAAACAAAAGGCAAATGGTAAGTTCATTATAAAAACTTTTTTTAAAAAAATGGCAGTAACTCAAATTTTGTATGTAAAGAGTAGTATTGGTTTTCCTAACTCTTCCAGGGTAGTGTTGCATACCTCTTGAGAACTAGAGATGGTTTCTGGCAGCCCAGGAGAACAAGGCTGTTAACCCTGATATTTTTAAATTAAAAAAAAAAAAATGCTGAAGGAAGCACAAAGTGACTATACACAGTCTCATTGAACTCAGTGGGATTTTTTTAAAGGGCTTGAAAATTGAGCATTTGGACTTTTCAGGATGGTCAGTGCTTCACAGACTCATGCCCGGCGCTTTTTCTGTTGAGCTGTCACAGTATGTGATGCATAATATGGTAAATAACATAAACATAATACATTTGTTTTAAATCTTTTAAAATAAATTCTTAGAGGCTTGGGGGGTCTGCAAAACTTGCTTTTGGCCACTTTCTATTCTAAGCAAAAGATAGAGAAGATCAAGCAGGTGGTGTAACAGCCAGCCTGGAGACGGGAGGTAATAGCCCTTAGAGGGCCCAGCAGAAGGTCCTTCCTGAGGACAGAAGCGCTCAGAGCTCCCTGCGCTAGATATGTCTAGAGAATAAGTCACTCGAGATATCGACATGACGAAAAGCATGAAGACTGGTCTAATTGAAGAGCAACCAACTTCTCCAGTGTTGCTGATTAACATGCGTGTTGCTGGTCCTTGTTTCCAAACACCTCTTCGAGTAGGAAGGAAAACCAAGAAACTTTGCATGCTGTAAAGCAGCAGCTGGGGACCTGAGAAGCACAGAAGGCGCTGGCTGGATCAGACGTGCAGACCACAGCGCTCTCTGGCTCCCTCCTCGCGCTGCAAGGAGGCTTTTGCGTGCTGGGGCTGGGCAGCCGTTGTCTAGGCAGGTCTCTGGTGTCCCATCCCGTGGGAGCAACGTTCAGAAGAGAGCAGGTGGGCAGTGAACATGCAGATGGCACAAACCAGATGAGTCCAGTGCTGCTGATACGATCACAACTGAGCTTGTGCTGGGTGGGAGGGGGTCTCGCTGTGCAGTGGGGACAGACCTGGCCCAGATTTGCCCTCTTTGGCACGCACAGGAGACTTGTGTGGACTTGGCTGGGTCTCTGATGGCCCCTAAACATGTCTTGCAGGCACTGTTTCACAAACCCCTCATCTTCCTGCCTGTGCCTGAAGGTAGGGGCTGTAGTGCTTGGAGGTGTCAGTAACACGGCTTAGGGTGGGGGGAAGTCTTATGGGAGAATTTAGAATTTAGAGAGAGATCAAAAGAAGTTGGTACCTGATGTGGTCCCGGCACGCTGTCGGGCTCAATCTTTCCTAGCCTGTTTTCTCTGCTTGCCACATGTGGCTGGCTAGAGGTAGCATGTGGGGAGGTACAGTCCAGCTCCTGGAGCACCCTGTGGGCATGCCTGCCTCCTGCCTCCACTTGCCTCTCCCAGGAGAGCGGCTGCAAATCCCCCTCCCTGGAGGTTGCCCCATGCTCTGGCAGCGTGGTCCCTCCAGCCTTCCTCGTATGAGGTTGCACAGGGCCCAGGGGGGATCGTGCTGTACCTGCAGCCTGCCCGGCTGGCCCAGCGCTGCTGCCTGCTTTTGCAGGGATGGAGCTGCCTCTGCAGGGGGGCTCAGGGATCAGATTAGCAGGGTGTGCTGCTGACCAAGGCTAAGGCACGTTTGCCAAGTTGCAGAGGGAGTTGGGAGAAATTCCTGGTTGTCCTAATCCAGAGGCTGGGCTTGGCTGCCTTGCCCTTTGCTTTGCAAATGGCGTGCTCCCTGCAGAGCAGGGGAGAGAGGGTGAGGCAGACCCTGTAGGAGAGGACAACTGCCTTTCACACACTCAGACAGGGCGCAGGGGAGATGGGTTTCCCAATGGATATTTTTTACTGTTCTCACCCTGGCTCTGCAAGAGCAACATGTCCTGTTCCTTCTGTCCTAGCAGGGTTTCCAAGCCTCTTGCTCATCATGCATTAGCAGCATGTCAGGGTTTGGTTGAGCAATACCATGTTATGCCAGTCCTGCGTTTTTCACAGGAGTGCCCGTGAGTGACAGCATGGCTCTGACATGACTTGTTTGTTTATTCTGAAGAGCCCTGGGTAGCCCGTGTTTATTTTTTTCATCTCTCTATCGTTTTGTGTCCTAAAAAGCACTCATGACCCAGCTTTGGAGGGATTGCGTCACTGCTGCCTCGGTTGGCAGCTAGTGTGTCTCTGCTCTAACCGCAGAGAAGACATGCAGTAGCTGTCACTTATTGTCCCTGTGCTTTAGTCACATCTCCTCCTTGCCCAGGAGCACTTTACAGTAGCAACTTTGGCCATTCCATGTTTCCATAATACCACTGGCAGTGCAGGATTTTATTTTTTTTTTAATCTTCTGCGAACTTCCTCAGTGTCCTAGTTTGCTAAAAGGCAGTTTTGGTGTTGCTTGTTACACAGGTGCTCCTCAGTGATGGCAGGAAGAGCTAAAAGCAACTTCTGCTGCTGTCTTCTTGTGTGTGTTTCTGCCCATAAGCTGGCTGGGGAGCATGAGGAGTCACGCAAGCCAGTGTGGCTGATGGGGAGAGCTAACCTGAAGCAGCACTCCTCGCTTCTCTCCAGGCTGCCGACAGGAATAGACCTCTCTCATTTTTCCCACCCGAGCGTCTTGGCTTTCACGCTGTGCACCTGCACTTCCCGCTTGTCAAAGTAAGGGAGAGCTTTCGTCCCCCCAGGGAGGGCCAGCGGTGCTGCCCGCCTGCCTGCCAGCGCTGCCTGCCTGCCAGCGCTGCCTGCCTGCCAGCACCGCGGGCGGCTCTGACATACACCCGAGCTGCCCGCTCAGCAGTTTCCAAGTGAGGAGTCAGCGTTTCATGTGGCTTTGTGACAGTCATCCATGCCATGGAAGAGTAATAACCAACAGCTTCACAGCCCATGTGTCGCCAGGCCATGGCCTAAAGGGAACCTCAGCCCAGAGCACACCTGCTTTATGGTTCCTGCACTATCCGAACCCAGTTTGTATTTTCTTGTCCGAATGCTGCTTATTGTGGCTGTCTTTGGCAGGAGTTAAACGAGCAAAGACCAATCACTGATATCACACGGCTCTTGAGAGGGACTTCTGGGTGCGACAGTAACAGTATTGTCAACCCCAAATCAAAAATCTTGCTGGCAGCTCATGAGATTAGTTGAAAACCGTGGGATTGTTAAAATGAATTTGTATGGTTTTATTTGCTGTTTGATTTTCTTTATCATAAATTCTCAGTGGTTGGTTTTCAGGCTTTTCTTTCTCCAGCTGAGGGAGAGAAAACTGTACATAAAGCGAGCAAACCCATTTCTAACATCAGATCCTTATATCCTATTAGGGCTGTTATGAAAGTATCATTATTAACCTTGTATTATTTTAAGTAACCACATTAGCAGCTCCTATCTGCAAGCAGGGGTGACCGATAAATACCCTAATTTGTATATATTTAGTGTTTGGCTTGCTTCCCATCTCCAAGGGTCATGATATTAGGGAGAACATCCTCTTTCGTGTATGTGTGAAAGAAAGGACAGTCCAGAGAAAAACTAAACTTGCTACAGAATAACCAAAGCCAAAAAAGCCATTTCTTCCACCTAGACTGTAAGAAGCTGTGCTTTCTCCCCTTGTGTGGTTTCACTGGTGGTGGCAGTGACACAGTGTGGCTGCTGTAATGGCTGGGGCGAGGTGTGGTCCAGATGTGGCGATGGTGAGGGTCTGAGTGGGGAGGAAATGCTGCTGTTTGCAGCTGACAGAAACAAGGTCCCAGCCTGGGACCTGATTCTGGAAAACTTGTCACCTGCTGCCATCTGCAAGTACTTTGTGGCACAGCATCTAATATTCCAGTAACAGCTTGTTACTAGTGACCATGACTGGTTTGTATGGTCATTGGGTTAATCTCACAGCCTGCTCTCTCTGCTGCTGCAGTTTCTATTTGCGGTGGGACAGTGTACGCCTTGAATACTTGCCTCATCTAGAAAACGATTTCATTTTCTCTCATTTTGAAATGAACTGAAGTAAGCAATGGTACAGGGGCCATTTCGGCTGTCCCACGTGAGCCCTCCTGCACCTCCACTCATTGCTCAAGCTGACCTGGTCTGCACGTGGATGTTGCTGGAGGAAGGTCTGTTTTCACTGAGGGAGGTTCAGGTAAAAATAGTGTGATTAACATAAAAATCCCAAGATACTTTAAAAATGCATATGGGATCCTTCTGGCTTGTGTTTGTCAAGGGATTTGGCTTGTCTTTCTGAGAACTGGATCCTTGTGCAGTGGCAGGAACCAAGGTTTTCGAGCCAACTTAGCACCTGGAGCTTTAAAACAAACATCCTCGTGCCAGGAGACCCAGGATATCTGTCAGTGCTGGCCAAGCTAACTGTTATTTTTCTATTTGTGGTATTAGTGAATTTTACTATTGCTCAAAGCTCCTGATGACCAGAGTCACCTTGGTACTTGTGGAGAAGCAATTTTTAATAGCCGCCAGCAACCGACACTTAAAGGCTGTGATCGCTGGAGTGGAAAACCATCAGGGAAAAACCCACTAAAGCTTTCAGTTCTTTAAATGGAAATACTGCTGTTCCCCAAGCTACGTCTTTGTGAACCTGTCTGCTTGAATGCTGTGCTTGCCCTCCTTCCACAGCCCTGTCGATATCCCCGATGTGCATTGGCAAGGGGGATTGGGATCGGTATTGGGAGCTCTGTGTGTGATGAGTTGGTCTGGAGCCCGCTGGCAGCGGCTGAGCTGCTGCTCGGGAGCGAGGAGGGGTTGTGTCGGCACTCATGCGCGGTTCCCGCAGCTGAGCACTGGCACTTTGGCAGAGGTGGTGGTTAAAGTGGCGTAGTGGGAGTAGAGTCTTTATTTCTCATACCTGGGCTGGGGTTTGAGTATTGCTGGTTTAACTTCTGAATGCTTTCACCCTAATTTTAAGAATGGGCAGGGTGGGGCCAGTGGGAGAGGATCAGACCTGTCTGACTTCCCTCCTTGAGCCAAAGGTGGAGACCTCTCTCCTTGCAGCTCCCCGCAGCCAGGGGAAGGCCCCGTGGGCTGTGCTTGCCGCAACCTGGCACCGAGCAGCCAGGCTGCTGCGAGGGTGTACAACACCCGTGGCGTAGGCTGGTCACCTGCCTTCGGGTCTCGTGGCTTTGTGCTTATGCCCACGTGAAAGTGTTGTTTCCTGAAGGCACAGCCCCACCAGAGAGGTTTGCATACAGCAGTCTCCTGTGTCCTTACAGGGAGGTGTTCACAGGAGCAGCTCCCCACAGCACTCCAGGGTGGGGAGAGAAGAAATCTCCTCCTTTCTCTCCCGGGAAGAGTTAAGGACAGCAGCAGCCAGAAGAGGAGGTGTATCCTCAGCCTAAGTTTAGCACTTTGGAGTCATGGAAAAACTTGCATTACAGTATCAAGTCCCCAGAGAACCAGTCTGGCACAACGCTGCTACTCCTGCCGCCTTGCAGGAGCAGACGCTCTCCTTTGAGACGTGCATCCCATTGCCTTCAATGAGACCAGTCTGTGCAGCCCGGGCAAACGTTTGGGTCATTGATTGCTTGAGGGCTTATTGACTGTGGCTTACGTATCCTTGTGGAGAGGGCACAAAACGCTTGGTTGTGGAGAGGCAGATGATACTTTGCTTTGTTTTCCTTTCTCAGCTGGTTGCATCGATCGTCTTCATCAGCTTTGGCGTCATTGCTGCGTTCTGCTGTGCCATAGTAGACGGTGTTTTTGCTGCCAGACACATAGTAAGTGCTTCCAGGAAAACAGAGGTCCTGCAATGCTTTTACTCTAGGAAAGCAAGTGATGGTGTCCATAATCCTGTATCAGGCCGCATCAAACCCTGTAAATACATGTCATGTGGTGAATGCTGTTTTAAATCATAAACTTTAGAAAAATGTATCAGTTTTGCAAAACTATTTTGAAATGAGCAGCAAGCATTAAGATCTCAAAACTTTGCTTTAGTTTTTTTGTGTATGCTTCATGCGTTTACCGAGTCTCAAAACTATAAGGTGTGATGTGAATTACAGCTATTGCCGAGGGACAATATATGAGCAGTGACATCTATTGTATTTTAAATATTAGCAGAGGTAGTTCTTAATGCTGTTTGAACCACTGGATGTTGTAGTAGAATGAAGCAATTTGATCCGAAGCTCATTAAAGCGCTAACAGTAGCAACAGGAAGCACTTGCAGCAGGTTCTCAGTTTCCAGTCAATGACTTAAAAAAATACGAGCTACTGCTGTCATGACCAAACTCTAGTACAGTGGGATGTGCAAAAGCTTCAGATATTAGTATAGAAATGAAAAAATAGAATTCCATTTCAATTTTTTAATTGAAATTTTTAACTGCAAACAGGTTTTTGTCCTGCAACTCCGCAGTTTGACGACTTTTTTTGAAACTTTTGGCAAAATGGGATTGAAAAGGCAGATTTGGGGTTTATTTGTGGTCAGAATGGACAGGGATTTCAGAATGTCAGAATTGTCCATGAAGTGGAAACTCCCCATGTCAGCTGGGTTGTTGTTCTCCTTGTAAAGCCGGCTTCCCTTTCCTGCCCCTGAGCGTTCCAAGGGGAGGAAGATGGCTGGACGGCAGGATTTGCTGACAGAGCAAAGGGCAGCTCCGCTCAGCTGCGTGATAGGTCTCTGTCTGGATGCAGCCGGCGAGTCTTGGCTATCTCTGGCCCCCTTGCGAGGGCATGTGAAGCATTAGCTTTGATAAAAAGGTGAAGCTCCTTCGACTGCTGATCCTGGCCGTGTGTGTCGGAGCCCCACAGCTGTGCTCTGTGATTTTTAGGTGCCGACCTCACAGGCTGGGTGATGGCGTGAGCTGGCACCTCCTCCCAGCCGGCCGTGGGGATGTCTGCGTGTCTGAGGCAGCCAGAGCTGAGAATGTTGGGATGCCGAGAGCTCTGGTTTCTGCCTCTTGATGAACGGACATGCTTTTGGCCTCGCTTCACCCCCTAACCGTCCAAGAATGTCATCTTGCTGGAGACGTGCTCCTGCCATGCTAGCACATAGCGTTCCCCCTATTGCCTGCTGCTGCCGCTGCCCTGCCACCCCGAGCTTTGGATCCGAGGCCCAGAGAGCGAGTCCAGCTGCTCCTGGGAAGGGCTCACTGGAATGGATACACATCCAGCGTTGCTTTCCCTGAGTTTTGCCCTGGGGACCAGGCTGCCCCGAAGTGAGATGTTAATGCAGGTTGTTTGCAGGCTGAGCCATTGGAAGTCCTCCAGAGCTTTCCCACAAGTCACTCAAGAGCCCAGAAAGACAAATTTGCCAACAATTTAATAAGAAATTGTTATGATTCAGCATGAAGAACCCTGGGAAACACATCAGGCAGCCGTGCAATGTGTCTGGGGGGATGAGGAATGAATCATTCAGTTCAGGGTGGCCGCCCTCACCCAAAGGAGCCTGGCTTAAGAGCCTGCTCCTCCCGTGCTACCTGCAAGAAATACAAACCTCCAAGGACCGGGGTTAAACATCACCTGGGGCTCAGGGGGGCTGAGGTGGGGGGCTGCCGTGGGTGGGGATGTTGCAGAACAGCCACTGTATTGAGGTGGTGATGCGAGAGCAGGTCTCTCTAAAGCCTGGCGCCTTTCCCCGGAGCAGCTAGCTGATTTTGATTTCGCTGCAACGCTAAGCCTGGTGCTTTTTCGTCGGCAGGACCTGAGGCCGCTGTACGCGGGACGATGTCAGTACTACTCCAAGAGTATGACCCCACCGGAGGTAAGAGCGGGTTCGACTGTGCTGTCTCCGTGAAGGGGCAGGCTTCATGGTGCAGGTGGAGGAACCTGCTGCCAGGCTGCTGCTCCGGTGTACTGGAGGTCTGCGAAGCGAGGAGGGGGTGGGAGGCTGGGCCTGGGGTGGGAGCGGGGTGCCGGGAGGACTCAGGGAGTGAATTCCTCCATGCTTGGTACTGCCACGTTAGTGAAGGAGCAGGTGGAGAGGAGGGGATGAGGGAGAGGAAAAGACAGCAGTTTCTCTAGAACTTCAGCTGCGCATTTGTTACAAGAGCAGGGTGGTGGGTTAAGAGTTCAGACAGCAGTAGTTTCGGTGGATACGAGCGACATATACCAGCCTCTGCACCTCTGCTGTCTGTTGTCTTCTCCAAAGAGAAGCCCGTTGGGGATGGATGTTCCTGCCACATACTGATAGTGTGTGTGGACATCTTCAGCTGCCTTTGCTGTGCACTGAGAGTCTCTCTGAGATTTCCTCACAAGTTCCCGAGTAGTTTTGAATAACCACTATATTCCAAATTAAAAAGCCTGCTTGAGGTGCAAAGTAAGTACTATCCAGTGGCATTGGTGGGGTCCATTATCTTTTCAGCCCAAAGACTGTCCATGTGAGCTTGGGTGTTACTACCCACAGGCAGACAATTAATTGCTTTAGTCGGTTATTCACCAATATGGGAATCTTGCTCTCAGTTTGTATCATCCTATTGACAACTCTTTGCTCTAAGTTGCTGTGTGGTGAGGAGTGTTAGTTCAGCAAGGTCTTGGCTGCTTGCAAGAGTTGCACAACCCTCTTCCTATGCAGGCTCGTGCTTATCTATGACTTCCCCATGGTGGAAGGAAACGCTGGTCTGCTCTAGTCTAGTGCGTCTTTATTCCAGTATAACTGCATACTTTGTACAAGCTGTGCTGCAAGATAAGGAAAGAAAAATCTGCCTGGGGCTAATCTGGAGATCAGCGCAAAACGTACATGTAGAGCAGGCCAAATAGCAGCAGAAACTGTTTGGTGATTATGTCCTTACGTGCTTTATGTATTTTTTCTGGATTCACACAGGCAATCTGTCACCCACAGCGCCGTGCGCCCTGCACGCCGAAAATAAAAACCAACACCTGCTTCTGCTGTGACCTGTACAACTGTGGAAAGTGAGTAAGCTAAAAATACCATTCCTGGCCGTGGGAAGGGCGAGCAGTGGTCATGCTGGTTTGCAGGTATCTGAAGGGCCAGGATAGGGCAGGAGCAAAGTATCGGTTAATGACAGCTGTTGTGGGAAGGGATCTTAAGCTGTGGTTGCTAGCCACAGGGGCTCCCAGGCAAAAGGTAACCAAGTAAAGGGGTGTATGAAATACACCAAAGCCATCCCAGTTACGGGTGAGGATGCTCCGGGCCAGCCTGGCTGGAAAAATGAACAGGGCGGGAGTTTCCATTACTTCCATGCTTGGTGCCTTCCCCAGTTTTTCCCCTATTGAGTGTCCCTTGTCCTAACACCTTCCTTCTCTGTTGGCACTGCTTATTCGCTGGGTTTTATTTTGTTTTAGAAGATTGAAGATGTAAAAACTGGGACACTCTTCTTCCTTGCCTTCTCACCGTTTCATTCCCCACCCTGCTAACAGGGAGGAGAGTTCACAGGCTGGTGCCACCTGCGTTTTCATAAATCAGTATCCTCTCTGCCTGCTGAATATCTTTCATGATCACAAGAGGTTGGAAGGTGTACCAGCTCTGTGCAAAGATGAGTCAGAAGGGTGGTTACCAATCGAGCACCACTGCATAGTGATCACACCATCATTACATCTGGCTACTGTGCCTAAGCCAACTTCATTTACAGCATGTGCTGCTTATATCATTTGGAGTGTCTAATGTGTGTCAGCAAGCAATTAATACATTGATTTTTTTTTTTTTTTTTTTTTTTTTTTTTAGTGCTGGCTCTTGCCTGGGGCTGTTTCAGGCTTAGCGTTTCTCACAGTACTTAGTTGGGCTGGCCCCCACTTAAATCATTGGCTGTGGCGGAGGAAGATCAAAAGCTGTTGCTGGGAGAGGGTGGTTCGGCATGCTGGGAAGGGGAATCCCTGGTCTCTGTAGGACCTTGTTTCTGTGGAAGCCATTGCGGAAGGGTGAAGCTCACACTTTCCTTTGACAGTTTACAGAACACGATCCCTTTTTACTAGCTGAAGAGAGCGATACACAGAGAAGTGATTGGAACAGAAAAACTTGTAACTTTTATGGTTTGGTTGGTTGGTTTGTTTGGTTGGTTTTTTCTCCAGTCAGGCTGGTTCAGGGTCCTGCTTCTGACCCATTTTCCCCTCTCTGATATGAGATATCAGTCATTACCATCTCAATCTTGCTTAGTGCCACACAGGTGTTCTGCACTGAGGGAGGTGCTGGTTCTTTTGGGATCTCAGTAAGAAAGGCACGGACACTCAAGGCTGGTTAGCTCACGTATCATGTAAAGGATGGAAATGATAAAAAAAATGACAGCAATCTTGCATCCCTCCTGATACTGGGAGCCCTGACTGTGGCAGCATCGGATGAGCCCCTTCCCATTGATAAGTACATGCTGTACTTATCTGTACAGTGCTGAATGTTCTCAGTGGTACACCAAGGTTCGCTGAGAGCTTTACACTCTCACACATCTCCATAGGAACGAGCTCTTGCAAACAGTACATACAGGTTGTAGCGTTAAAGGCAGTCATGGTATGCGCTCAGGTTATGCAGAGGTCGTGCAGGCTAACATACAGGTTTTTACAACCTGTGGTTACGCTCTGCCTCAATTCTGCTTGGAATCTCTGTCTCCTTGTTGCAATGTTTTCTGCAGTGGCCCGCTGCAACAGGATATGGAAAAAAAGGAAAAGAAGAAACTGAAATTGAGTAATGAGGGGAAGGAGGGTGGCTCTTGTGAAAGGGGGCAGGTTCCTGCAGGCCTTGCAGAGTCTGCTGGGGTGCTGAGCCTGGATCTCCTGCTTCTTGGCCTTAAATATGAGCCTGTTCTTCCCCGTTTCCTCAAAGCCCTTGTGCAGTTTGAGCCTAACCCCATATGTGAGCTAGGAGGTAAGTCATTCATAAGCCCTTAGTATCGTTTGTTCCCAGTAAATATGTTTTCTTAAGGGGAATTTGCTGTAGCCCACTACATCTGGTAAGCTATGCCGAAGGCCAGCCTGTTCCCCCAGGCGGCAGTCAGAGAGAAGTCATTACTGAAGAATCCTGCCTGCGAGACTCCAGCCC